GATGATGTCCTTCCAGCACAACATTTGGACATGCTAGGCTGGAAGAGATGCGGAGGAGACGCACGGCATCTCTTCAGGCACCCCTTCTGCCCATTCTGGAAGGAACACTATTTTAGTGCTCCTTCTAGGGTCGGCAGAAGGGTGGATTGGGGCCATTGCATGTGTTAGCAGCAGCCCCAATCCTCCACTTCTCGGGGTGGCCCATGGCCACCCGTTTGCAAAGCCCCTAAATTATCTCCGGAATCCATTCCAGTTCTACAGTTCTGTGATCCTAGTCAATCTTTACTCATAGGAGGGATGCACACTTCTAAAAATTCAGGATCTCCCTTTTCCTACATTTGCATGTGGTTTTATCATATTGTTATAATTAAAAAATACTGTGAGAAAATTCATCCCTTCTTTTGACTGTTTTTCAACTATGCATACTTGTGTGTGTGTTTTATATTGTGAAAATTGCTTGTTTATATATTATGTGTTGCCTAAAGCATGTATAAATGTGTGTTTGTGCATATTTGAAGTCTGTACATTTTTTCCTTTACATTTATGGGATGTGTCTATAGCTATCCATGTACACTGAGTCTGGATTGTAGATGCTCCATGATGTATGGACAGCCTAAAATCAAAACCAACAAATCTGCTAGAGTAGGACTCTCATGGATTCTTAATGCAAAAATTAACTGTTTTCAGGTCTGTAATCTGGTCTCTTGGGTTCTGTTGTCCCGTTGAAATCCCAGCAGAACATATTGCATTTCCCCATAATGCCCAGAACAAAGCAGTATGGTAGATAACATACCCCATGGAAAGCTTGTAACTCTCTAATTCCTAACAGGGGAGCCAGAGAAAAGATCTGAGGCAGTAAATGTTTAAAACACTTGCTTAATAAATTTCAGAGTTGAAAGCAGGGCTGATGGTACTGCTATTCCTTCCTGTAATTTAAACTGACAGCTCACTTCAAGTCACACCAATGTATGAAATTGCTGGTCAGCACATCTGAGAGCCTTTCCTCCTGGACTGGGCTTGACAAATTAGATTAGAAACTTTTATCAATACGAAGGCATGATGGAACTGCTTAACCCTTTCATGCCTGGGGAAACAAAACACCACCTTTGTTAACAGGAACAACTCCATCTTTGCTGTGGGCTCAGAATTTGATTCTGATTCAGACAAACAATATATGATGTGTGGGTTTTTTTTCCTGCTGTAATACAGGATTAAATTTCAGAGGAAGGATATTGCCTGTTTCTCTTCAAGTCTCTACATGATTCTTTCATTTTTTACCACCATGTTTTCTGGAGGAGCTTGAAAATATTTGATGGGATGCATCTGGATGTTAGTCATGCTTTTCTGCACACATCCCAGTTGAGTAGTAGCAAATGTGACACAAGTTGGGCACTAAGAATGACACAGTGCCACTCCAGTGTACATTACAGCACATAGGCAGCCCTACTACACCTCTTTCTGGTTTTATTGCTGTCACTTACCTTTTTGCTTATATGTTCACTGAGGAGCACAGGGTGATCAGAACTGAAAAGAGAAGTCACCAATTCTTGCTTGTCCTTTTCTGATTGGTGGCTGCTGCTCTTTCTGTCACTCACCTGCCATCAGGTAAGCAAAGCAAAGCAAAGCAAAGCAAAGCAGCTTCATTTATGTACTGCTTCATACCGCACTATGCAATGTCTAAGCAGTTTACAACTGTAAGCTCATTGTCCCCCAACAGCTGGGTACTCATTTTAGGGACCTCAGAAGGATGCAGGCCTGAGTCAAGACTGAGCCCTGGCTAGTATTAAACTTGCAACCTTGTCGTTTATGAGTGAGTGGCTGCAGTACAAGCATTTAACCACTGCGCCACCAGGGCTCCTAGCAAAACATAAGGAAAGCAAGATGTAAGGAAAGCTAAGAGTAACTACCATTTGACAAGGTGCAGAAAAGTAAGCATTGTTAGATGTTCTTAGTGGGATGGACATGACTCCAATTTTGCCAGTGTATGCCCTTTTTGTGGACATTGCACAAGGAGGTGCCCAGGAACATTTTCTCAAATGACCACCCTCTGTGTGTAATACCACTGGTCCCCATTTGGCAGTTTGTGGTTAGTGGGGGCAGAAGACTTCTGGGCATCATCCGGCTGCAATTCTGCAATTGGGAAACAGGAAGAGGTTATGTTTTCTTGGACTTCTGGTGATTACACTGGAGGTCTGAGACAGCCATAGCTGTTCCTTTTTCTCAGATGGTCACAAAGGTGTGCCCTGGAGGCTTCAAGTGTTGTTGTGAAGCTAGCAACAGGGGAAGCACAAGGAAAGTACACTGGCCTAGATTGTTGGCACAATACAGGATGTCCTGTTTAACAGAGGACAGTCCTCTATTTGCAGACCATCAGTGAACAGTTAAAAGACATTCCGCTATTTTACTGGCTATCCAGTCAATGGATAGATTAGTCTATATCTATCCAAGTCTGATGGAAACATAAAGGATCAAAAGAAAGAAAGGCAAGAATCTTGAAGTTGCCTATTAGCAGTGAGCAGCAGCTAAGCAACAGACTAAGCAGGCACAAATGTAATCTTAACGTCTCCTGGTCCAGTGAGATTATGGTATTTCTATTTAAATTATAGCATTCATTTTTAACTAGAATACTACAAATATACAGCTATGCAAATGTCTCTCCTCTATTCTGTGGAATAAATTCCCCCATGCCCGCTATCCTAGTTCTGCACCATTTATGATGGCTGTCCAAGCAGGCATTTGCCCAGTCAGTAATGCCAAAGGGAATGAAACAGCAACCACTTCTGCCATCAGCCATCTCCATGTGTGAGGAAGATGGAAGGAGACTGAACAGTTGCTGCCATTAGAAAGCAGCACAGTGTTGTAGGGAAATTCCTTTCCAGCAGGCTAAGAGAGAGGGAAATATGGTCAGAGGAATGGGGAAGAGAGAGAGAAGGAGAGAGACAGAGACAGGCAGAAGGATGGGGAAAGTTGCTTATTCCACTTTTGTAGGTGATGATAGATCTGGTCTACACAGTAAGCTGGAACATCAGTTACCTAGTGATGCCCCCCCCCTCTGGTTCCATCTGCACTGCAGAAATGATGCAGTTTGACACTGCTTTAACTACTATGACTCAATGCTATGGAATACTGGGATTTGTAGTTTGTTGCAACACCAGGGCTGTCTGACAGAAAAGGCTAAATATCTAACAAAACTACAAATCCCAGAATTTCAAAACATGGAGTCATGGCAGTAAAAGTGGGGTCAAACTTTATTATATCTGCAATGCAAATG